GGATCGTTGTCTATCATTTAAAAGAGGTGGTTAGAAATCAAGGACTGTATTGTCAGCTGGCGTAGAGGGGACATCGCTCTGCTGAAGCTGGTAGAACTGCATGAATTTACACAACCAGAGGATTCCTTAGTTCTGTTGATTTCAGTGGACGTTCAGAGCCTCAGTAGATGTTAGGTGTGTCAGCTGCTTCATTGATTCCAATCTGAGACAGTCGTGCTCCTCTGATTTACACCAATTGAAAACTGGGCCCCAGGACTCCTGGGTTCATTTCCTGGCTCCACCCTAAATTCTCCAGTCACGTAATCCGACGTTTTCCAGCTTGCCCTCTGCATTGGAATGGTTCAAGTGCTGGGGAGAGAAGGGGTCAAGGCAGGGAGGGTCCGACCGATCCAAGGCCCGAGAAGTTGGATGCAATAGCAATGGGGGAGTGACTGGAGGGCTTCAAAGAAAGGGGTGATGTGAACAGAAGGACGGACGAGGCAAATGATCTTGGCGGCTGTATTTTGTATCGACTGGCGCGGGAGCAATGTGGGTGTGAAGGGGGCCCGGAGAGGAGAGTGTTCCCACAAGCAAGAAGGGAGGAGATGAGAGGTGAGAACAGAGAGTGAAGATTGCATCTTAGAAATGTTGCGAAGGAAGAAACAGTGAGATTTGGACACCCCCCAGAGCAGAAGGGGAAGGGGAATTCTCACTGGGTATTTGGCAAGCTTAACACAGAGCATAGCAGGACCCTCTGAGATGCTAGTTCAAATCCAACCCCGGTCAGAGGAGACTGAAAAAGTCATTACTATATGCTAGCCCTTTAGTGGCCTATGTGTCCAAGCTGATGGTCTCAGCCCCATTCTGAGCAACTTGATAGGGAGGTAGTATTGCTCAGTGAGTAGGGCACTTGCTCAGGAGTCAGGAAAGCTGGATTCTATTGCCACTGGCCTACTGTGTGACCTTGGTCAAGTCACTTCCACTCTCTGTGCCCCTCTTTCCCCTCCCACTCTTTTTCCTTGCCTAGACTGTAAACTCTTCAAGGCAGGGACTGCCTCTTATCAAGTGTCAGTACAATGCTTATCACATGGGGCCCCCAATCTCATCTGGTGCTCTCTAAGTGCTACCATTATCGAAATAATAACCACGTGTACAAATGCCCTACCACGGCTAGCACCTCAGCTGGCAAGCTGACCGCTCATTGTGCCTGGAGAATGAACTCCCAGTCCTTGCTGGGGTCTTTCCAGAACAGGTCTGAGGCGGACTGGAGGGAGGGGGGGAGATGTGGGAAGCATTCACTGATGCTTCCCTTGCTGCTCCTCTTGTAGTGATGAATAGAAGCCTCTTATCTGAGTCTGTCACTCCAGAGCCTTCCGTCAGCACCTAAACCCCTTGAAAAGAAAGGCAGGCATTCCCAGAATGCCTAGGGGGACCCAGATTGCTGGAGAGATGAGATGGGGCAACGTTATTTTCCTGCTTGTAGATTTGTGAAGTGGAAGCTGGGGCAGAGCACAGACTCAGCATTCAGAGCCAGGGCGTCAACGCCCCAAACTCTCAGGCTGTTCAGATCCAGGGTGTCAGTTCAGCCCCTTGTGAGGCAATGACGGGAACTTGGATTCTGGGACGCGGCTGGGAGCTGCAGAGCAATTCTGCTGACTCATATGGCACCCAAATCAGGTGGGTCTCATTAGCTCCCCCTCAAGAAGGCAAAAAGTGGGGGAAAGAAAGAAAGGAAATAGGGGGTGAGACAAGAGGTCTTGCGCAGAAAAATCTCTACAATCAGCGAGCTCCAGAGTGAGCCCAGGCTAAGCCTCCCTCAGCACGTGAGGAACCAGGTGATTCAGACGTCTGACAACATGCACTTAATATTCAGTCACAACAGGTCATGTGGTATGTCCCATGACTGTGTGAACTCCCCATGCGCTGAATACCCTAAGGCAATTAAAAACCTTTCACAAACCCTTCTAAAAGCACTGGTACATTGATTACGAGGAGATTACATTAAATAAACTAGTTTTTCCTCTCCCCCCAGGGAAACAGCCCCACCACTTCCCATGACCCCTGTGAAACTCAACAAAGCAGCCACATAACCTGAAAGCCCAGGAATGGCAGATGGGACCTCCCCTGCCCCTCCCAGCATTGAGCAATAACATCATTGTAATTATATATGTCAGTAGCACCCAGAGGCCCCAATTGTGGATCAGGGCCCTGTACCCATCATTAAAAAAAAGACAGTTCTTGCCACAAAGATCTTACTGTGTTGGCATACAATGGGTGTGAACCCTCCTTCAAAGCAACTTTCTATGTAACATCCATTTTTTAAATTGCTTGCTCTTGGAGGATGGGTTTGGGGATTGCAATGACCTTACAGGATAGCTAAGAAATAGGGTTGGGATTTTCAAGCGGCCTAAGGGATTTATACACCCAGTCCCCCAGTAAAAATCAATGGGAATTCCCTATTTAAAAAAATCAACGGGAAGTGGGATCCTGCCCCTCCCCTGCCCTTGAAAATCTTAGCTCAGACTTGGAGATAAATAAACGCTGTTTTGTTGGCTGTCATAAAGGATAGAAACTAACTGGGGTGGGGGAAGGGACACAGCACAACAGACCTTGACTGGCTCATGTAGTCTCCTCTTACGGTTAATAGAGAGGAAGGATGGTCCAGGGGTAAGGGTGCTCCCCAGGAACTTGGGAAACTGCGTTCAGTTCCTTGCTCCGCCACAGACTTCCTGGGTGACCTTGGGCAAGTCACTAAGGCTATAGCTGCACTGCCAAGGAAAATACATAGCGCTGAGTCTTCAAGCCTGTGTCAACCAACTCAGGCCGTGTGGCTAAAACCAGCAGTGTAGCCGTTCCCGCGTGGGTCAAAACCTGCTCAGGGTTTTTAGCCCCACATGGTGAGCCCAAGTCAATTGACCCAGGCTCTGAGACTCGCTGCTGTGGGTTTTTCTTTGCAGTGTCGATGTCCCCTCAGTGTCTCGGCCCCCGATCTCTAAAATAGGGATATCAGTCCCCATGCATATGCACACCTTCCAGGGATTTTAGCAGAATCTGAGGGTGCTCAGCACCTGTCAGAATTGGGCCCAATTATGTAGTGTGACAGGACTGTGATAGGGACAGGCATAATGTGCCGGGAGGAGAGTTCACACAGTCATATGCTACATCACATGGCCGGTGTTGTCACTGAATATTAGGTTTACACTGTAAGTTGTCTGAATCATCTGGCTCCTCACAGCACTCCAAGGTAGCTGTTGGGAGAGATGCTCTCTCCTGAAGCCTGACAGAACTGACGTGCTTGAGATCAGCGCCTGGCCTTCTATTTGATTTATTTCCTTTGTGGGGAGGGAGTCTCCGATCTCTGTTCCATTTGGATTACCCGGCGGGATGTCGGCCGACTTGTAGCAGTGTCAGATGGGGACTGCGTTCACCTGTAGAAGGTACTGTTCGTTTATTTCCCCTGGAAGAATGGTGAATGTGGAGAAGTGCTGAGTTTGCTCTGCTAGTTGTATTTCCTCTGAGAGAGAGAGAGAGATGGGCTGAATCACAACATCACATGACCTCTCAAGGTCCCTTCTAGTCCAATGTTTCTGTGACTCTATGATCAGAGCGAAACTCCCTTCCCAAACTCGGTGGAAGTTTGGATCTGGATCCAAATTTTATGGCTTTGCCCTATCAATCATTTTTTATTTGTCCTTCGTGTTGTTAGCAATGTGTCCCTGGGCGGCTGTTCATCCGTTTAAAACAACAAGAGCCTTTAGAGAATAGATTTTGTTGCCTGATCTACTGAGGCCCTGGGGGTTTTCTCCTGGTTCCTTTTGGATTGTGTGCGTAACGTCCTTTGCTGTTTTAAAGCCACATGAATCGGTGCTTCACCGGCACATCCTTCCTCCACAGACCTTATACTTGGCACATGCCCATGGCTGGAATTTTTAAAAAGCCGAGCGTTAACACTTTCTGCTGTACACAGCAAACCCACAAGCGTGAGAGGGTTCATGCAATGGACTCTGGATTGCACGCGTTGGGACACAAAATTGCAGTGAGGTTTACCACATTTCCAGGTGCTTGTTGAAGGGAATGGCTGCCCTTGTGGACAGGCTATCCCAGCAAGTTGCTATCCATGGGAAGGTTTCTGCCTTACTGCTCTTGCAGTTGGAGTTTTGCCTAAGAGAAAAGTGGATTTATCCCAAAGGTCTTGAGCTGGAAATGTCTTTTGCCAATGGGCTGGGCTGATGTCATTGGAATGTGTCCCACAGTTGGGGGAAGCTAGAATCCTACTGGCCTTTTACTGTCACCAGCACCCAAGAACTGGAAAGAAAACAGACCCAATGGATCTCTCCTCCAGACACAGCCGAGGCACTAAGGGTAACACTCAGAGGTGTGTGAGAGTGAGTAGATTGAGATGGTAACAGGACCAAGATATGCCCACATTGGGCTAAAGGCTTGCTGGGGTTTAGAAGACGCAAGCCAACGTGTGGGTGTTCTTGAGAAATCATTACAGCCTCGGGTCTAGTTTCCCAAGGGCTCTACGCCGGAACAGTGAATGCTGGTTGCCAGTGGGCGTTTACCGTTTACCCCAGCCATGTCGTTCATGCTGGTGTAACTTAACAGTTGCTCCCAATTTACATGGGTGTAAACAAGATCAGAATAAGACCCCATGGGTGGTGGCTTTGCTGTACGTTGCCCTGGCACAAGACAGCCCAGCGACTTGCCAGTGACACGTATGGGGGGTTGTCAGCAATTTCCTCCCCCCGCCCTCCAATATTTTTCATCAGCCCAGGAGCAAAACCCATCCCAGATAATGTAGGATCCTCGGAATGGAATTCTCCCAAAATGTGCATCCTTCGCTTATACGACAGCCTCTGCGCAGGAAACCCCAGACTGGGTAGTGTGAACTTCCACCTCTCTCTTCTGCCTTTTGGAGTTCTTCTGGCCTTTGCCTTTCAAAGACTGTTCGGTTTCTCTGCCCATCATCCGTGTTTAGGCAACCAGCTGATTTCCCCTTTTTGCTCTTCTGATTACAGGGCGACCATAGATGAAGTGGAAACAGATGTGGTGGAGATAGAAGCAAAGCTTGACAAGGTAAGATGGGGAAGCTGAGGGAGTGGCTTTGGGGGAGATGGTTGGGGTGAGTCTTTGGTTTAGGAACGTGGCCCTGCCAGCCTGTTCTGGGCACAGGGCCCCTGCTCAGGAAATCATTGGTTGATATGCTGGTTTAGTGTGTATGAGCATGTCTTCCTGTACTGCCTGGCCCCAGACACTGCTGCGCAGCCATAGACGAGTGAGTTGGTTGCTCCTTTTAGCACAAGTAGCTAGGGCTTGTTTCTGAAGAGCGGTCAGGAGAGTTCCACTTCTTTGTGCCTCTGTTTCCCCTTCCACTCTGTCTTTGGCTTGTCAACTTGGGCGGTAAAGCTCTGTGGGGGCAGGGGCGTTTCTCACTAGGTGTCTGCACAGCAACTAACACAACGTGGCTGTAGCCTCAGTTAAGACCTCTAGGCACCACAGTACAGTAATAGAAATAAAGGGGCAGTGGTCACTCTGTGATTGTGATGTCTGTAGGTATGCAGCCTGGGTTGGTTACAATAGCCTCAGTATCTCAGAGCTGGGGTTCACAGAGGGGAGGATGTATGTGGAATTCAACTGGGAACGGTTTTAACAATATCGTGTCAAATCTGTTTCTATTGTGATAAAGTCTTAAAAAACATTTCCTATTATGGGCTTGTCTATACTTACCGCGCTGGTTCGGCGG